CGAGCCCGCCTCCGCGCCGCGACGCCGAACCGCCGAGCTCGGCCGCGGGGGAGCAGAGGTGGAGCCTGGTTGCCCCCGGACCTGACTTGGCGTCGACCGCGTTGGGGATTCGTCCTTGAGTCTCCTGTCAACTGACAGTCGAGCCATGAGGTTTTCGCGAGCATGAGGTTTTGGCCTGGTGTTGACCCCGCGTGTTAACCGTACGAAACGAGCCTCTCACGTCCCGGGATAACATGTCTCTCTAATTGTAGGGTCCTTAAATTTAGAGCAGTTGCAGCCGCTGGCTCAGTCACTAAAGGATCCGGGCCCGACACGCACATACACAGTAGTTCCCAGGGCAGCAGGTACTAGACGTTTTCTATTCGAGTCAATTCCTATCTCTATATGTGGTAGTTTTTCTCTCTGTGGTTTTGATGAAATTTATTTTAGTGTACGAAGTCACTTTCCATGCTTGAATATTTTATGTATTGTGTTTTAGATTACGTGAATTAAGAGCAGATATACAACCATCCTCAGTAGACAGTTATGGTATTTGAATACCTTTTGACATTCCTCGCCTCTTTTACTACCCCTCATTTTTGCCTCCTATTTCTGTTATTTTTCCACTTCATCTCTCAAAATGACTTTCAACCAGGGCTTCTTTCCCTTCAGAAATTTTCTTCTACTTCTAGAGCCCTGTTCTTGATGTTGGCTATTATAGACTCCCCCATGGCTGTGTGAATGGAAGGATCACCGAGGGCCTGATGGAGACTTGGAGTCTAGGCCTGGTTGTGCTACTGGGAGCTTGTGCAAATTATTTATCCCCTTTCGACCTTGGTCCTCATCTTTTAATTGGTGGGGTTATCCTGACTGCTTAAAGTCATTTCTGCTTTGTGATTCTAAGTGTCCAACCTCCAGCCACATAGTTATGGGAACACTAGAAAAGAAAAGGGAATTTTGTATAACTGTCCACTTAATACAGCGACTTAGACCAGTTTGAAATGAGCATATTGTGTTTTGCTAACTGGAACTTTGAACTCTAGTTGCATCTCTTCAGAGTTCAGTACTTTAATAAACTAAAACTGGCTGAGGTATTTTACGGATTCTTACTTGGTGATAAAAGACAGCGATGTACTTAAATTTTAAATGCAGATTGTTTATTAGGGAAAGCACTGAAGTTCTTGACTCTTGCAGGTTTTTGAAAGTCCCTGTTTTCGACCGGGCTCCATAGCTCCGAGGTGAATGGATTGCCTGAGCCCGCAGGTTCGAGACTATCTTAGGCACCATGGCGAGACCTCATCTCTATAATAAAATAAAAAAATAGCCAGGCGTGGTAGCGCATGCCTGTAGTTCCAGCTAACTTGGAAGACTGAGGCAGAAGGATCATTGGAGCCCAGCAAGTCGATGTACTCCATCCTGGGCGACAGAGTGAGACTCCAACTCACACACACACAAAAAGTCCCTGTTTTCAAGAATAGTCCCTGTTTTCAAGAACTGTTTGCAGTTTTGGTCCTCTCTTAACTGATAATAATATATTGGATACCTGGTTAGGCTGTCTAGATAAAAGTTGCAATTCACTGAACAAGTTAGTAAAATAATAGAGAATTAATTTTGAACTTTGGTATAAACTTGTAAATGTTATATTAGCAAACATGTCTTATTGAAGTACCAGTGTGGAATAATGACAGACAACATTTTCTGAAGTTGGTGCCCTGAGGGTGTCAGTGGCTTCATTTCTGAATTAGTAAATTCAAATGAAAAGAACATTGAAGTGAAAATGGAAAGATTTGGATTCTAGTTCTAGTTTTGCCAGAGACGTCCTCTGATTTTGCACAAACTCTTCGTAGCATCTCTAAGCTTTAGTTTTTCACCTTAAAAAATATAGACTTTTTGACCCCGAACTTGTACCCAGCATTTTCAGGACATCATTTTTACACAAGCACCTTTAGTTTTCATGGCTGCTTGGAGGCAAGAATGAAATCCTTTCTATGAGTGTGGTGTTCACCAGGTACACAACTGGGAAAGCCCTGCTTTAATTGCAGTTGTCTCTGACTCCAGTCTCGTGCTTTTTACATACCAGTGTAGTGTCTCATTGCTAACGATCATGTCTCTTAACCTTAGAAGATTGTTTTCCTCTGCTATTCTGATCAGCATTATAAGAAGCTTTTCTTTTACCTCTAACAGAAAGTACAGAAATCCCACCTTATGTGATGAAGTGTCCAAGCAATGGTTTGTGTAGCAAACTTCCCGCAGACTGTATAGATTGTACAACAAATTTCTCCTGTATCTATGGGAAACCTGTTACTTTTGACTGCACAGTAAAACCATCTGTTACCTGTGTTGTAAGTACTGCAGCTTACTTGTACTAAATAAATTCGTTGTAACTTTGAGTTAAAAGTGCAGTTTAGATTGACTATTGGGGGAATATTGTGAGTAATCTTTATATTCTTTTATGACTGTCCTGTTGAGTATGTAAGCAGAAATAAAATTTAAAATCCTGCAGTCCCTTCCATATCAGAGCACTATGTTCAATTATAATAACTGTCAAACCAGTTGATGTCAGCTGGAAATGGACTTGACAGAAATGTGGCTTTGCAGGACTTGTAGAAGATCTCAGTTTACTAGTGTGTCTGAAGCAGGTATAATTCGTTCAGTAGGTTCTGTGTTCTTAGTAGTGACAGCTAATATACAGAGGGGATGGTAATGTCTTCCTACCATAGATGAACTTTTGAAGGTGTCAGTTGTTGTCTGTGGTGAGAGGGATTCAGTAAATGCTAGGATGCCCAGGTAGGTGTCTGGAACACAATTAAGTGAAACTCTTGTCTTGTCCAAAATAAATTCCAGATAGATAAAAATGTAATGTGAAAAATGAAACCATGAAGTACCCAAAAAACCATGAGATAGTCGTTATAATCCCAAAGTGGGGAATATTTTTCTAAGTATGGAATGAAATTTAGAAGCCACAAAAGAAAATTGATACATCTGACTACTAAAAATTAGAGATTTCTGCATCTCCTAAAAGGATCATAAGGCAGAAAACAAATGGCAAACTAGGAAAAAGTATTTCTAACATGTGACAAATAATACACTAATATCTATAATATATAAAAATTTCCTAAAAGCCAATGCAAAAAAAATGACAGTTTTTCAGAAAAGTGGTATTAGGACATAAGCGGATCGTTCATAGGAAAGAAAATACAAATAGACTCTTAACACATGAAAAAAGGTATAATTTTTCTTATAAGTAAGGAAATTAAGAACTATTTTTTTTCATTAAGGAGATTAATTAAGATGAAAGTAGTTACCTCTGGAGCAGTTACAGGTTTTTGTAATTTCCAAATGTGTGACATATAAAGAATATGTGGTACTTTTATGAGCAGAAAACAAAATAAAGACTTTTAAAATTGAAATGCAAAGAATCTCTGGTCTTAGAAGCTAAGGCCAATTGTGAACACTCACTGAGTCTTTGCCTGTCACGTGGTGTTTCTGAGTTGGCTGCTCTGGGTTAATCTACAGCCTGCTGCTGGAGGTGGGAGCAGTGACAGCTCTGAGGTCCTGGACTGTGTGGGGTAGATTACATGTTAGGGGAGGTAGCGTATTACATGTTAGGCTTACAGAAGCATCAATTTGGGGTGAGAAACCTGGATTGTACTCCTAACCTGAAACTCAGCAACCTTCAACAAATGTACTCATCTGTTCCTCCCAGCTGTCTGTGACTGTGTCTTTATAAAATAAAAATTCCTTTTCTCTATTATAAAAGTATACATGCTCATTTTGATAATTTAGCTAAGCAAAAGAGATCACCCTGAAATAACCTTTGCTATTTTAATGTGAATTTATCTAAAATGTTTATATATATATGTGTGTGTATACACACACACACACACACACACACACACACACACATTTAGGTGTATATTTTTATAATTACAGGGTCATACTATATACATTTGTTTTGCATATATATTGTTTTGGTAACTGTTTTTCTGGCATTTACTACTCAATCCTAAATATAAGTGTTTCAGAAATGTACCATTTGACTGTGTGGCCTTGTTGACATAAGAGCAGACTACCATATTGTGATTGATAGTTCTGTGTCCTCTGGTTCATAGGATCAAGACTTCAAACCCCAAAAGAACTTCATCATTAACATGACTTGCAGATTCTGCTGGCAGCTTCCTGAGACAGATTACGAATGCTTCAATTCCACCAGCTGCATGACGGTGTCCTGTCCTCGGCAGCGTTACATTGCCAACTGCACAGTGCGGGACCACATCCATTGTTTAGGTAGGTCAGGGTTCAAGATATTGTTAGCAAAATATTTTTCTCTAAGTTTACTTAAGGGACTTTAACCTGAAATTTTAGAATTAAGTTATTTAATGAGAAACATATATCAGCAACTTTTTAGATATGCCAAGCCTCATTAATAAACTCAGTGAACTAAAAAAAGTATCCAGAAAATGTGCAATTCTATGATCTTTTTAAATGTAATATTTGATAAAACAAAAAAAATGTAAAGCACAAAGCATGATATACAGTAATTGGGTTTCACCCAAAATAACAGCTAGAATGGCACCAATACCACTGCAACTACCTGAGTGCTTTGCCTCCACCTAGCTGCTCTGCCTCAGAGGTACCACCCTTTGACTTTTTAAAAATCATTTCATCTCCTCTTAAAATTTTTCTGTAGTTCTGTCATGTATACATAAAAAAATATAGTACCATGTAGTATTCAAAAGTGCACATTTTAGAACTGTGTAAAGTGATATCAGGCTATGGTCTTTTGAGACTTTCTTATTTCCTTTTAACATTATGGCTCTAAGATTCATCCATGTGACTTTTTCATTTCTATTCTTCTGTATAATAGTTTATTGTAAGAATGTATCACAGTTTATTCATTCTTCAGTGAATGCAGGTTATTTGCCATTTTTTGCTACTGCTACTGCTGTTACAATTTCTGTACATACCTGCTAGTTGCACAGAGGCAGCAGTTTGTCTAGCTTATATTCTTCAGCATGTGCTATTTTCCAAAATAGTTTTATGAATTTACTTTCTCACCAGTAGTGCCTAGTTGTTCGTGATCCAAATCCTCACCAGTACTTGTGACACTTGAAGTTTTGCCTTTTTTCTTAAAGATTTCTTGGGTTATTTTATGTTTTGGATATCAACCTTGTGTGTCCTTAGAATCCTCTTCCAGATTTTGATTTCTTTTTTCTTTCTACTTTCTCTATGGTGTATTTTGATGAACAGAATTTTTAAAATGTAATTAGTTTAAGTTGTTAGTTTTTCTTTTTTTCTTTTGAGTTGGAGTCTCACTCTGTCACCCAGACTGGAGTGCAGTGGCTGCTCCCGGCCACCGCAGCCTCGACCTGCTGGGCTCCAGCGATCCTTCCGTCTCAGTCTTCCAGTAGCTGGAACTACAGGTGCACGCTACGACGCCCGGCTAATTTTTGATTTATTGTGGAGATGAGGTCTCGCCAAGTTTCCCAGGCGGGTCTCGAACCCGCTGGCTCAGGCAATCTACTCACCTCAGCCTCCCAGAGCGCAGGATTACAGGCTGAGCCACCGAGCCCAACTAGTTGTTAGTTTTTCATAGTTAACCTTATTTTGTTGTAGTTTTAGAAGTCTTTTTCTACCCCAGGTTTATAAAGACATTTTTGCCTTGTTTTAAAAGTTATAAGCTTGACCTTTGATGGTTAGATTTATAATCCCCCTGGAATTGGGTTACGTGGTTGGTATGAGGAAGATCCAACTTTACTTTTTTTCTCATGTGAATAACCAGTTGTTGCAACTCTAGGCTGCTAATCTATGTGCGACCTCTGTTCTACATGAAGTGTTTGTGTGTTTCTGGCTCTCTCTTCTTTTCCTACTGGACAATTTATCAGTCTCAATACCACACTGTCTTGTTTACTCTCTTGCTCTTAACTTATTTACTCTTAACTTCTTGATATCTGATAGGGCATTTCATGTTCTTCAAGTTGTATCCCTAACTTAACTGATACAGATATTAAATCTACGCCTATACAGGAAGTCCCCAACATAGGAATAAGTTTGGTTCTGAGAGCACGTTTTAAGTCCAACAGTGTTAACCTAAGGTACCCAACTAACACAATCGGCTATATAGTACTCTTTGTATTTAACAGGCTATACTGACACGTAGTGGAGAGAAACAATACATTAAAAATGCAGGTGGGCATGATTAAAGTTTGCAACTTGAAGGTTTGTATGTAAGGGACCTACTGTAGATGGTAAGGATGTTCTTGCACTCTTCACTCTAGTAAGCATTCATTACTGTAAAGAGAGTTGACTTTTTAGATTTTAAATTGTGAGGCTATTAGTTATAATGAAGTCTCTCCATGAGAATATTTTTGTACCCTGTGTTTCTATGTAAATCATTTTCTTTTTTTGTTTTTTTCATTTTTTTGTTTGTTTTTTAAGGTAACCGTACTTTTCCCAAAATGCTATATTGCAATTGGACTGGAGGCTATAAGTGGTCTACTGCTCTGGCTCTAAGGTAAGCCATTTGGATTTCTTTGGGATGAGTGGAATCTTCCAGACATTGAGCTCAACCCAGTTCATTGTTCACTCATATCTTACCATGTGTTAGACTCTAGGAAGCAGAACTATGGGAAATTTAGATGACCACACCACACAGTGCCTTCATGGAGTTTCATGGCAGGCTTGTTAGCTTTTACCCAAGATGTCTGTACATTGGTTTTTCCCATCCTGAATGTATCATGACTCAGTAAAATGCTACATACTATTTAAAACAAATAGGGTTATGATGTATGTTTTTAACCCTTTGCAGTTGCATGTCTCCTCTGAGGGATATCGTAAATCTAGCAAACCACTCAGATGTCCCCTCTCAGGGAACATAAAATGATTGCTGGTGATTATACAGGACGAATTTATGAAAGTGCAGATTTTTCAAAAATGTATGTTTCATTGACGTTTTCCATTCAAATTACATGAAAAAGCAAATCGAGAGATGGAATATATACTGAGATATGAGCGATCAGTTAAGAAGTAGTTTTCAGGAATCATGAGTGCATCATTCCACATCATTTTTGAACAACAGACTGGAAAATAAATTATATACTATTAATGTGAGGGGAAGAAAACGAGATTGCATTGTCTGCTCGAATAGAAAAACACAAGTGTAAGATGTCAAACAAATTACTATTGCACAACATGTATCAATGAACTTGCAATGCATGTTGGTGACTGTTTCACATATTAGCACATGCTAGAAAAATATAAGATGTAAAAATTTTTAATTTTTGTCATAAATAAGTTTCATGATGTCTAAAATTCTATAGCCAAACATCACAATAAAATAATTGGTTACAACACTATACTGTTTAATATGAAGTGGTTCATTTTTCACTATTTTAAAAAGTTGCAGTCAAGTTGCTGGTAGGTGATCCATGAGATGTCTCTGAGTGCAAAGGGTTGAGGTATCTCATTCTTACTAGAAAAAAGAACACATACTCAACACTGAAACTGGAAAAGTGAAAATGTCAAAGAAAAGCTTTAAAAATCAGCTATACTTTCACCATCTAGAGATAATGATAGGCCTGTAATTCTTACATTAACACATTTGTGACCGGCAAATTTTTCACTTTCCTAATGCTGAGAGCGGGTGAAGATTAAAAAAACTCTGAAGATGGTTGCCACAAACTTCTGTCATTAAGCACAATGAAATGGTCTTTTGGTACCTTTTTCACAGTACAGCTGAAAGTTGCAGACATATCCAGTGTTTGTCGCAGATATCCCTTTAACTTGCATTCTTTACTCTGTATTTTTATTTGGACTATAAACCCGAAAAGACAGTCTTCCACAATGAGGTATCGTGGATTCATCCAAGAAAAGTTCTTGTTCAGGTTTATACACAGTGTTGAACTTATTTAAAACATAATTTATTACAGGTTCAATTTTGTATAATCTGCTTAGATTTGATTGGATTTCTGCATTATTGGAAAAATGCAAAACTCACAAAATTTGTAGGAATCTATTTTGTGTCATTATTTTTAAAAAGAAAGGTGTTGCAGTTGACAGATTTGTTGAGCAATAATCATGTAGCTTTTTTCACTACATCAAAATATTTTATGCTAGAAATTTTAAAATCTTGGACACTGTAGTATTGCTCCACTTTTTTTATTTCTTTGGACATTTATACCTGTGGTGCATCTGATCATAATACCTGTGAGTTTCAGTTGTGATCGTTTCTATAAAATCATCTCCAGTAAATAGCCCAATAACTTTATTTGCATTTTGCGGATCACGTGGAAATACCTTGACACTTGGATTACCGATAAACCTTTCTAAGTTTCGTCTTGGATATTTTGTCCACTCAGTGTCTGATTCATTCTCATCAGTACTATATTCACTGTCATAGATTATCTGCATTATATTTTTTTGTTTACAGTGTATAATTACATCATCATCTCACTGTCACTAATAAGTTCACTGGATTCACTTTGTACCTTGGAAATCTCATTAGCATATATTTCTTCATTTTCCATAATTATGGTAAATTATTTCAATTTTATTTTTATTTTTTTTGAGTTGGAGTCTCACCCTGTCGCCCAGACTGGAGTGCAATGGCCGCTCCCGGCCACCGCAGCCTCGACCTGCTGGGCTCCAGCGATCCTTCCGCCTCAGCCTTCCAAGTAGCTGGAACTACAGGCGCGCGCTACCACACCCGGCTAATTTTTTTGATTTGTTGTAGAGATGAGGTCTCACCAAGTTGCCCAGGTGGGTCTCGAACCTGCGGGCTCAGGCAATCCACTCACCTCAGCCTCCCAAAGGCGTGGGATTACAGGCTGAACCACCGAGCCCGGCGGTAAATTATTTTTAACATTGAAGTATGAAAGTCCTGAAATATCAAAAGGCAAATATACAGCACTAATCACAACAAAATAATGACCAACTTGCAATTTTTACCTACTACGTAAATCAATAAAAGCATTGTGCAGTCAATATCAGATAATTATCTCAGTTGACTTTCACCTTGCCTGACTATTTATTTTCAAGCAAAATATAATAACACATACATATGACAACGTTGCAGCATTCAGAAACAATTTGTAATGATGTAAATTAACATCAGCGGCAATCAGGAACAGAATTTGGAATGACATAAATTCACATCAGCGGTCGTGAATGAGTTAAAATGTGCCTACATTTGTTAAACTTTTCAGCAGTTCTTTGTGAAATTGTGCCAGTTCTTCCCACCAAAGGGAAGGGTGGCAGGAACTTGATTAAGAATGAAAAGATTATGCCATCTGCAGTTGATGTCTTAAGAGTTAGCACCAGGGGCCTGCAGCATGACATAGGGCAGGATTTCTCAGCTTCATCACTGCTGACATTTTGGGCCAAATAATTCTTTGTTTAGGGTTTGCCCTGTGAATGGCAGGATGTTTAGCAGTATCCATGGCCTCAACCTACAACGTGTTGGTAGCAAACCTCTCCTTCCTCTGCAGTTGTGACAATCAAGATGTCTCCAGATGTTGCCAAATGTTCCCTAGGGGGTAAAATTGCCCCTTGTTGAAAACCACTGCATGAGGATCTTGGTTGGGAAAAAAGGATCCTGCTTGGCAGGAAGGTATAACTGGAAAGTAAAAGAGGAGGCCAAGATGGAAGAAGATGAGATCTAACAAGAGTTAAGATGTGGTAACTGGCCACAGGAGCTGTCAGCAATAGTTCAAATTAAAACTAACAACTGACTTTTTTGAAATGAACTTTTAAATCTGAAATAATGTTTAACTTACGGAAAAGTTGCAAAGATAATAGAGAATTGCTATATACTCCAACCCAGTTTTCCCTACGTTGTTAATATCTTAGATCATCATGTTATATTTAACAACTAACTTTTAAAAATTAAGAATACTTTTCTTCTCAGAGGGCAACATAGTTTCTTTCAAAGTATTCACTGTAAATGAGGTAATGTTCAGGGTTTGCTTCAGAGTACTCTGCTAGGCAGGGGGGTAGAGATGAAAAGAGCTGGCCACGTGTTGATGACTGAACCATGGGTACTGTTCTCTTTTAGTCAGGTTTTGAAACTTTCCATAATAAACATTGTCCCAATATTGTTAGCTCTTGAAATTTGATGGAATCTTAAAAGCCATTTCACTCCTAATGCTAGATTTTTAGAGATGAGCGTGAAAACAGAAGTGATTTGATCCTGGTCTTCCAGCTGGTGTTAGGTGCCTGGAAACCTGGTTCTTCGCTCTGTGTTAGCCACTTCCTGTTAGATGATCCTGGCTTTGTTTTGATCAAAAAGCAATGAGATTGAATGATTTTTTTAAAAGAGAAAAATGTTAGGTTTTAGTACAGCTAAAAATTGTATGTTTGCTTTAGGTATTTAAATAGTCTTCTTGCCCATGATTACTTGCTGTTGTAAATTTGTGCAGTAGTCATTTGTATTCTAGTTAAGGGTTATGATAGTTTGAGGCCCTTTCCTCAAATATGACATAGCATATTATTTAATATATTACATAGTATTTAATAAATTATTAAATAGCATGATACAGCATATTAAATATTAATAGCAATTTAATAATTGAACATGTTCCGATTTAATAATAGCATATTATTAAACCACAACTGGCTGCAGCTGGGGTGAAGACAGTCTCACGGTTTGTTGTTGTTGCAGCATCACCCTTGGTGGGTTTGGAGCAGACCGCTTCTACCTGGGCCAGTGGCGGGAAGGCCTCGGCAAGCTCTTCAGCTTTGGTGGCCTGGGAATATGGACGCTGATCGACGTCCTGCTCATTGGCGTTGGCTACGTTGGACCTGCAGATGGCTCTTTGTACATTTAGCTTGGTATCCGCTTCGGAAAGGAGCAGTGCTTAGAAAGAGTCCTTTTGCCTGTAGGAGTTGGTGTGGTGTGAGTGATATATTTGTATGTTTTAATGTACAGCATCTGTACTTTGCTTGCCTTGATGAAGGTAAAATAAAGAATTAGAACACTGAACCACGCTAATCTGGAATTTGTTTTTATTTGTGTGAAACATATTTTTTCTGTGAAAAAAATGTAAAGTTATTTAAACCAGTAGCACACATTCTGCAGTGACTGAACATCCATTCAGTTCCAATGACTTTGTCTTTTTTTACCTAACTCAAAATATACATCTTGTATCTCTAGCCCAGATATGATCTGCCCTGGAGACCCTTTCAGTTATTATTGCCGGAAGTGGGAAGGGTTTACCGTCAACTAGTCTGCCTGCACTTCAGTCACCTGTACGTTTTGTGGCGTAAAATGTCTGTGGTCTGGTCTCTATGAATGTTTGGAGTAAACGGCGGAACTTTTGTGGCTAGTCCTGGCTTGAAGTTTCTTAGAAGTATAGGAGGTTGTGAGGGTGCTGAAAAATTAATAAAACTACTGGCTAAGGAATATTGTTGACCTGTCTCTGTATATTTTCTATATTAAAATATAATATTGAATGACCATAACACCTTGCCTTTATTATGAAGAAGTACCATGTTTGCTTTTTAGGGCGTCACTTTGTTCCAGCAGATGTAGTTGTAACTGACTGGTCTGTTAACAGAGTGCAGGTGTATAAAAGTTTCTGAGTCTTTACAGATCTATTATCGACTCTTTATTGAACAATAAAGCCAATTGTTAATCAAAAAGAGTTCTACTGAAGGCTGCTTTTGAAACATCCAAAAGTCCTTAGCATTTTTCCTTTCAAATAAGGGTGTTTGAGTGACTTCTTTTTAAATACCTGCATGTCGTGTTGATAGAAGACTGCTAACCAGCATAGCAGATCTGGAAGCTGTAAAATATCTTTTGGGAATATCTCCTTAAGTTTCATGGGATAGCCATGTTTTATTCACTAGATTATTTATCGGTTGCAATTTACTAGGTGAATTAAATCACCCTGGCGCTAACTTGCCATTTCAGAGTGCGTTTTTGAAGCGCAGGATCTTTTCTGGTCTGGTGTGTTTTGGGAATAGTCTACTACAGTTCTGACTCTGGCCACTAGGTGGTGTGTCCTCATTACATTTGCTTTCCTATTTTATTTCCAGAAACAGCCAGTCTTAAGTTGTTTTCTTTTTTTGTTGTTTTTTTGAGGTGGAGTCTCAGTCCTTCGCCCAGGCTGGAGTGCAGTGGCACGCACGCTCACGGCCACCCCAGCGTCGACCTGCTGGGCTCTGGCGATCCTTCTGCTTCAGCCTTCCGAGTAGCTGGAACTACAGACACGCCCTACCGTGCCTGGCTATTTTTTATTTTATTGTAGAGACAGGTCTCTCCAAGTTGCCGGGGCTGATCTAGAACCCCCGGGCTCAGGCAGTCCACTCACCTAGGCCTCCCAAGGTGCTGGAATTACAGGCTGAACCACCAAGCCTGGCCTTAAGTTGTTTTCTTACTAGGAACTTGTCACAGAACATGGGCAGAGCTTTGGGATGGGAGTAACCCAGAAGAGGACCCCTACAAGAAGCAGCCCCTTTGCTGGCTAGGATGCAAATTTCCCTTGACTCTCCTTGTTTACTTCTATGCAGAGGACAGTCTCTAGCAGTTCCCTGTTGAGAAACCACATGAGGTGGAGCTGGGGAGTCTGGGAAGTTGGTGCTCATGGAGGAAACACGTAGCTGCTTCCTTGACAATTGGCCACCTTATATGAGACTTTGGGACTGAGCTAAGTACTGAAGCTGCAGCACTTGAAAGTTGAGAGCTCGGAGGCTCAGAATCCACGAGGGGGGGCATGAAAGGAGCCATAGCCTTTGGAGCCTTGAGTATGGAACCAGGCGGGATGCTTCATATCAAGGGTTTAATGGAGCCAATGACCTGAGACACAGCCAGCAGGAAACAGGAAGAGATTTTCTTTTCTTTTTTTTTTTTTGAGTTGGAGTCTAACTCTGTCGCCCAGACTGGAGTGCAGTGGCCACTACCGGCCACCGCAGCCTCGACCTGCTGGGCTCCGGCGATCCTTCCACCTCAGCATTCCAAGTAGCCAGAACTACAGGGGCGCGCTACCACGCCCGGCTAATTTGATTTATTGTAGAGATGAGGTCTCGCTTTGCCCAGGTGGGTCTCAAACCCGCGGGCTCAGGCAATCCACTCACCTCGGCCTCCCAAGGAGCGGGATTACAGGCTGAACCACCCAGTCCGAGCAGGAAGAGATTTTCAAATACAATGTGAACAAAGGTATGACTGATGAGCTCACACATGACTCCTAAAAGAAATGCAGAATAAAGCTTCACTTTCCAAGGGCACCAGAGAGTGTAGGTATGATCTCTCGAAGTAAACTCCATGGGCCTCTGCTGGCAGCAAGGTGCCATGTTTCGTTCTGATCCTCAGGTTTTGTTCCTGCGTTGTCTTAGTCCTTTTGGACTGCTGTAATAAAATACCACAAACAGGGTGGTTTATAAACAACAGAAATGTATTTCTTACAGTTCTGGAGGCTGGAAGTATAAAACCAAAGTGCCAGCAGATGTGGTGACTGGAGAGGGCCCACTTCCTCATGGACAGCGCCTTCTTGCCGTATCCTCACATGGTAGAAGGTGGGGGACTTCTTTGGGGGCCTCTTTTATCAGGTCACTGATCCCAATCATAAGGGTTCCTCCCAAAGGCCCCACGTCCTACCACCATCACCGCAGCATTTAGGATTTCAACAATGAATTTGGAGGGGACACAAATGGGTCCAGAGCATGCGTGCTATGAGCTCTGACTAGACTAGAGAATGCCATTAGATAGGGATCCTGTTGACACAGCCTTGGAACCACATCAGTCAACCATCCTCTCTTGATGGGTTTCTAGACAGTCAGAATTTATCACTGAGATCCGCCATCTGTTGTGATTTTGTCTTACGAATCTCTACCGTGCTTTGTCAGCACTCTTCCGTTTACCCTAGTAATTCTTCATGGGAAGGTGCTGTGTGATTTATTTCTATCACCCCCATTGTCCCTAGCACAGTGTCTCTCATGAGTTAATGCCGTGGGTGTCTTGGAGGTTTTGCAGGGTTACATAGGAAGAAATCCAGGGAATGGCATCTGAGGGGGATGCAGGGGGACAATACACAGAGATGGGCTCTAAGTGAATATTCGTCTATAGCACCGTGTTAACCTGAGTTCTGCATGTTGCTGAGGCGTGGCTCTGGTTTATGAAGCTTATAAAAGGAGATTTGCAAAAGATCTTTTGCTTCAAGATTTTTATATGTAACTATATCTTCTCTTTGCTGCGCAACTTTGTTTCCCTGAATTGCATTTACTTTTGGCACATCATCAGCTAAGGAATATGCAGATGATTTTCATTCATCCTGTAAGCAGTGAGTGGCAAATGAGCTGTATCTGATGCAGCTTTTGAAGTACAACATTAAGAGCTGAAAATGAAGGCTGATTCTTCCGCTCCTGCCCTTGCACTTCCCCTCTGTCCATGCTGTACCAATGAGAGCGTTTTGGACAGAGCAGGAGGTGCCACAAGAATGTTAGAGGGTAGATCTTTTTTTTTTTTAAGAATTATTGTATATACTTACAGTATATAACATGATGTTTTGGTATACATGGTGAAATGGTTACTATACTCAAGCAAAGTTAACATTTCCGTCATCTCACATGACCCTTTTTTTGTGATAAGAGCACCTAAAATCTACTCTCTTGGCAAATTTCCAGTATATAATACACAAAGTCCTCATATTATGCATTAGATCTGTAAGATCATCTTATAATCTAGATGAATTTGATACAAACTCTTGGGTATAAATTACTGAGATTGTTTTGTATAAACATATTGTTTGCATGCAACATAAGGAAGCTTTGAAGGAGACACTTGGACATAATTTACCAAGAGGCTCCACGAGGGCTGGGCTCTGGTTCGCTGCTGTGGCCCAGCTTTGTGAGCCGGCCTGGCATACAGTAGGTGCATATGACTATTTGATGAATGAGTTATGAGGAATCACTGGGAGTAAGCTGAGCACCTAAAAGTATGGCTAAGAATTTTTATTTGTTTATTTATTTATAATTTTATTTTAAAGATGTGGAGAACAATTCAAGGTTAGGTATACAGATGTTCATTATGCAGGTGCCCTTGTTGATGAGGTGTGGCCCCCTTCCCCAGGCAGATTCCTACTACTGCCAATCCCACTTCCCCGTTCCCCGGCCGGCAGTTTCCCGCTACTGCCAATCCTTCTCTTATAGTATTATGATAGTTGTTCAAGGTCCACTTATGAGTGAGAACATGTGATACTCCGTTCTTTGTTTCTGTGAAAGATCACTCAGTATTATAGACTCTAAGTCCATCCAGGTTACTGCGAAGTTCTTAATTTTGTTCTTCTTTATGGCTGCATAATATTCCATCATGTGTATGTACCACTTTTTTTAAATCCAGTTCTCTATCTATGGGCAGTACAGTTGGTTCCTTGTTCTTGCTACTGTGAACAACACGGCGATAAGCATATGTGTGCAGGTATCTTTTTATAGAGTCATTTGAGTTCCTCTGGGTATATTCCCAGTAGGGGGATTGTGGGGTTATATGGAAGGTCGATTTTTGATCTTTTAGGAATCACCACACTGTTTTCCACAGAGGCTGTACTAGTTTACACTCCTACCAACAGTGTAGAAGTATTCCCTTTTCCCCGCATCCTCTCCAGCATCTGTTGTTTTTTGAGTTATCGATGATAGCCATCCTGATTGGAGTTACGTGGTATCTTGGTGTAGTTTTAATTTGAATTTCTTTAATGACTGGTGAGGCTGAGCATTTTTTCATGTATCTGTTCGCTGCTTGTATGTCTTCTTCTGAGAAGTGTCTATTCATATCTTTTGCCCACTTTGTAATGGGGTTGTTTGTTTTATTCTTTTCAGCATGTTTGGGTTCCTTGTAGATCCTAGATGTCAGGCCTTTGTCAGACATACAGTTAGCAAATACTTTTTCCCAGTCTGTGGGCTGTCTCCCTGCTCTCTTGATGATTTCTTTGACTTGGCAGAGGCTTGTCAGTTTGATGAGGTCCCACATGTCTATCTTACCTCTTGTGGCATGAGTACTTGGGTTTTGATCAGGAATTGGTTGCCAGTTCCAATATCCATAAGGGTGTCACCTGCATTTTCTAAGGTTCTTATAGTTTGAGGTTTTACATTTAGGTCTTTGATCTATTTCGAGTTGGTTTTGTTTATGGTGATAGGTAGGGATCTTGTTTCAATCTCCTGCATGTGGTCAGCCAGTTTTCCCAGCACCATTTACTGAATAGGTTCTCCCCTCCCCAGTCGTTGGTGGTGGAGACTTTGTCAAAGATGAGTTGGCTGAGAAATTGAAGTTTTGCTTCTGGAATCTGTATCCTGTTCCATTCGTCTGTATGCCTGTTCTTGTACCAATACTAGGTTGTTTTGATTATTATAGCTTTATAATAGAGTTTAAAGTCTGGGAGTGTGATACCTCCTGCTCTGCTTTTTTTGCTGAGG